CTGTCAAGAGCCATAAAGTTGTTCATTGCTTTGATAAAGTAAACATATTCCTGGGAATTGATTTTAACTTATAATAAAAGAGAAGTGAAAAATCAAAGATGGAAAGGTTTTTATTTAAGCACTAGTAATAAAAGGCACTCATTAGAAACAATCTCAAATAGCAGAATGATAGGGTATTTATTTCAAATCCATATGAATGAATGCATAGCTAATATAATGGTAATTAAGTGCAGAATGGCACCTGAATGGAAAGCGTCAAAGAGTGTGTGCCCAGATATGTAATCAGACACAGAAGATGAGAAGGCCACACTATCATCTGTCACTCTGCATATGACAAATGGAGATCTGTAATACTGAATATTGCTGATATGATGACCTAGGGATTGACCTCTTCTCTTTTATTGTCTCTACTAACTACCTTAGTGATCTTATTGATTTTAAATATCATTCATATAGTAATGGCTCCCAAATTTCTACCTCTAGCCCAGACTTCTCTAAACACATGACTTGTATATGCTTCCATGTAGTTGTCATGTTTAATCGATAATTTGAACCTAACGTGTCTAAAATGAATGCTTGATATTCTCCCACAGATCCACTTCAATTATAGACTTTCTTGAATCAGTGAGTCACAGTTCTGTCCTTCCCACTTTTCCTTCTGAAAACCCTGAAGCCATTCTTGATGCCTCTCTTTCTCTATCACCTATATCCAATCTGTCTGGAAATCCTATTTGCTCTACCTTTTCAATTAATCCAGAATTTTATCATTTCTCATCATCTCAACAATTATCACGTTGGCCTGGAATGACATCTTTTTTTTACAGTAGGTTTCTTAAATCTTCCTGACTCTAAAGTTGTTCCCCACAAAATGATCTTAGCACAATATGTGATGATTTTTTAAGAATTTATAGTGATACTATGATATGTGAACATGATTCACATCTTAAAGAAGAGAGCTATGGATACCAAGTTAAGGTCCCAAACTCTTCTTTTCTCACTGTAGCTTCTAGGATCACTCTGTTGTGATTGTCTTTTACTGAAAGGAGGTCTTACTAAAGTAATTTATTAAGAAATAAACTAAGCATGTTTATTTATTTAAACTTTTTATTTTGTATGGTGATATAGGAGCCCTGGTGGCTCAGATGGTAAAGAATCTACCTGCAATGCAGGAAACCCAGGTTCGATACCTGAGTCAGGAAGATCCCCTGGAGAAGGGAGTGGCTACCTACTCCAGTGTTCTTGCCTGGAGAATTCCATGGACAGAGGAACGTGATGGGCTACAGTCCATGGGATTGTAGAGTCGGACACAGCTAAGCAAGTAACACACACACACACACACACACACACACACACACGGTGGTGTAGCCTGTTAACAGACAGTGTTGTGATAGTTTCAGGTGAGCAGAGAAGGGACTCAAACTAAGCATATTTAAATGATCTTTAAATATTTCTTCCTCCTAGTGTATATATAGTTTTTAAATTAAATTTTCAGCTTAGTTTTTACTTTTTTTCTGTACACAAATGGGAACTGTGATAAACAAGACAGAATGAAACTTTGTATTTATCCAGTTCTTTGATCAGAGTCCCAAGTGTTTTGTGCTCAAACTTTTCACATTTTTAAGTGGATTCTCCCTTTCCCTAACACTTTAAACAAAGCTCTGCACTTATTTTCCCTAGATTCTGATCACTTCTGAATTTCTCATCTCCTTGACAGTTAACATACCTCCCCCTATTCTAAAAGTGGTAAGTAATAAGATTCAGTCTCTTTCGTTTAGCACTCCAAGTCAGAGTTCCCATAATTCTCACATAAGAATTACCAGGTGTTATAAAACATACGGATCAACAGATATCTCCTTTGGAAATTCTGGTTTGGATCTAAGTTGAACATTTGCATGATATTTTTAGCAAGCATTCCAGGTGTCCGTGTATTCAGGATGATTTGGGAAAGGTTCAGGATAGCTTAAAACAAGTAAAATAACACAGATATTAGTATGTTCTCAGACTGTGGGAAATTAGTGACATGAAAAATAAAAGACAATATCAGAAATCATTAAAAATCTTATTCATCTGAAGAAAAGAAAAGCAGAGATATTTAGAACCAGACATTATTTAGACTTTCAGGTATCTAATGGCATGGTTAAGTTCCCATTTATTTTGTGATTGCAAAGTAAGCATTTATTTCCTCTGAGTTCACAGAAATATATTTGAAAACCATACATGGGAGTGGGCCACAGTGAGATTAAGACTGTGGAATCAAACTTGCTTTCTTAGAGGTAAAATAGTAAGTTTTCCACAAGGGGTTGAAGTTACTCATCTGTTGAAACTAATCACCTGCATGAGTGACCCCTCCAAGGATGCTAAATATAAATATTGCAAAGTATGAACTGAATGCTATTGCAGAGAGGCAGGACTGGATGTGATACAGTTTGGTAAGCTGCTTTCTAATGAATTTGTCTCCTCTTTCGATAAAGAATGTTAAACAATGGAGGGTGCTCATAATGGAACACAGAATGATAAAGAAGTAATCAAACTGCAATTCTGGTTTACATATACAATTCTATCCTTGGAAGACAGAAAACAAAACATGTTTGAATCATGCAGAAATTTACTCCATCCTGGATCTACTTGTGTAGATAAAATGACTCTTGCTGAAGCACCTGAAATCTGAGAACCCTCTCTAGGCCTCTGATGATTTAACCAGATGGGTTACAAGCCAGTTTATCGAGTTTTGCCTCTGGACATCTGGTTGGCCCATCTCTTAGGCATTAATTAGCTCATCCATATCCCTTTAAAATACAGACAAAGTTGTTGAAAAAGATAGCACATGCCGACAGTAGCTGATGAGGCATGAAACTATAGATTTTATTTTCACCCACATAAACAAATAAGATGAATATGTATAGGCTCAATGATTGTGATTACCTGGAATCAGTCTTTGTAATAAAATGATTGTAGAGTTTGGGTGGTAATAAGCTTAATACTTCTTCCTCCTTTTCAACCAAATAACATCAGATACCATGGTCATTGTTGTCTGGTAGTGAAATGAAAATAAGGATGAAGGTCCTAACATATTATTCTGCTTTTATTCAGTAGTACAAATCCCCTTTGGAAGGTTTCTGAATTAATAGAACTGTGCATCTAATATCTGAGAAAGAAAAAAATTCTCATGTATAGTAATGGTACTTGAATTAAACACCAGCACAGTTCCTACTTGTTGAATTCTTTTCTCCTACATGGTTCTTTTATGAATCAGTTCACCCTCAACTGAATTGTTTCTTGCAAGCTCTGTTCAAGAGCTTAGAGATGGTAAGAGAGTCATAGATAATTATCTATGACTCTCTTACCATCTCTAAGTCTAAAATTCAAAGATATTCTCTCAATGCTAGCAAGAGTCACCTTCTCCATAGAATAAAGCTATCACCCATATATACTTAAGGGCATCTCTCTGATAAAGAGGAATTAATGTACATGTATTGGTCTCATAATTTCCCAGCACCAATGAGGATGGAAAAGACAAAGAAAAACTGATTAATATGAAATATTGGTGAAAATATAATTTACGTAATTTTGCTCACATTTGTCAAATATATCCATGAATCTTTTCCCACAATATATGTGTACATTAGTAATTTCTTTTGCAGTGTAATCTCTACAGGGTAGGAATATGTTCTTTCTCAGCCTTAACAGGTCAGTTCAGCATGCGCTAAGAAAAATATGCAACATGGTGTGTGTGTGTGTGTGTGTGTGTGTGTGTGTGTATTAATGAATTGACTTCCATATTCAGGGTACAATATGAGAATACTTTGACCTCATGACCACAGATGCTTTAAGGAGCATTTATAGATCCCCTGAATGCTTTTCCTTTCCTCCACTTCAAAGGCAAGATTATTGTGTGTAAGTCCTTGTCATGATGTCTTCGCACATACACAGATATTTATTCATCTCCTACATTCACATCCTAAATAAACAAAATCATTCATATGGTAGTTTATTAAATCTAACATATTTTACATTTTAACATTTAAAGTAGGGAAAGTTCTAAAATTAATGGTATCTTGGTTTTATGAATTATGATGTATTTATACTTTGAACTATATACACATTTATGTAAAATTTTACTTCTTCATAATTTCAGACATAATTACTAATCATATGATGATAAATTATTTCAAGATATCCTAGGCTTAATATCTTACACTTTTGGCATACTAGTTATTGTCATAGTGATGCTAGATTTGAACATTTAGATGATATAGTGAATCAAATATGAAAAAATAAGCAATCATCTAATTTTAACATTATATTAATATTCAATGAATGCTAAATACATCTCTAGAAATGTAATCCATTCTTCCTAAATTACTTATGAATATCAAAATTTTTATTTACCAGGTAAATCAAGATATTGGAGTTAATATTGAACTCCTTTCAAAAATAGGTATTTTCCAGGATTTAGTTTATTCCACCTATTTTGCAGTTTTCTGGATAATGTTGGAGATTATACAGATGAATGTGCTTGCTCCCATATTACTTGAAGACAGAAATTAGGACAATATGAAAGAATTTCCTATCAGCAGTTTTTTCACAGATGCTTTCACCTCTTTGTTTCATAGACTGTAGATGATAGGATTCAACATTGGGGTTAATGCACCATATACCAAAGCTATAAATTTATCTATTTCCTTTGAATCTAAAGCTGAGGGCTTCAGGTACATGGAAAGAGCTGTCCCATAGAACAAAACAACCACAGACAGGTGGGCTTCACATGTTGAAAAGGCTTTGCTTCGACCATCCACTGAGCTGATTCTCAGGATGTTGGAGAGGATGAATACATAAGAGATACAAATTAGGAGCATTGGCATGGGAACAAGAAGTATGGTGAATACCAGTATGATTAACTGCACTTTGGAATTGTCCACACAAACCAGTTTTAAGATAGTAAGAATCTCACAAGCAAAATGATTGATGACACTATTACCACATAGAGACAACTGCAACACAGACACTGTTTCCACCAGGGCAGTGAAGCAGCCTGTTACCCAGGAGCCAGCTGCAATCTGCACACAAACCCTCTTGTTTATGATAATGGGGTACCTTAGAGGGTTGCAGATGGCCACATACCGATCATATGCCATCATAGACAGGAGCATACACTCAGTGGAGCCCATGGCCAGAGAGAAGTACATCTGAGCAGCACATCCTAAGAATGAGATGGTGTTTTCCCCTGACACAAAGTTTATCAGCATTGGAGGGAAAGCAGAAGAGGTGTACCAGATGTCTAAACAGGAGAGATTGCTGAGGAAGAAGTACATAGGTGTGTGTAGGTGGGAATCCAAGATAGTGATGGAGATCAGAATCATATTTCCCAGCAAGGTGATCAGGTACATCAGCAAACACAGCACAAATATGCTTATCTCAACTTTGGGGTAGTGGGAAAATCCCAGGAAGAAAAACATTGTTACAGATGTCAGATTTGCCTGGAACATTTTATTATGTCAAAGTCATTAGTATATACACATAGAAAGATTATCATCACATATCATATATAAAACACAAGATCTTCTCCATTTTTATTTTCTGGTATTTTTTCTTCACATCAACTTGTGGTATGTGCTTAAAGGCTTCTCTAGCTTGGTAATAGTATTATTAATATGTATTCGAAGGAATTTATCATCAGTAAGGGAAATTTCAAGTAGGGAGCCACGGATAAAGTATCTTCAAGATTTTCTTTTTGCTGTAATACTTTTTAAAGGTAAAGTTGGGGAAGGGCAAGGTTTATTACATAAATATCATGAGATCTTGAGGAAAGAAAATCTATGGAGTCTTTCTTTTTCCAAGACCATATCTGTAACTGATGGATGGTGAAGACATCAATTTACCTCTGAACCACTGGGATGATTTTATTCTCATAGCTGGCTAACAGTCTTCTTACTTGGGAGTTTTTCTGCTTTCCAACTTCAGTATCTTCTGCCAAAATAATTTTGGAAGATTCATTTAGTAAAAATGATTTCTGCAACCAAAGATTAATTAACTGAAAAGCTTGAAAGTTAAACAAGTCCAGGCTTTCCATTTTAAGCCCAGGAAAATGGTGATAGATATTCTCATGGTGGGACATATAGCAAACATTTCCTTCATATAGCCAGAATTGCCTTGACATTTGTGCTCCAGAAACATCCTCCAAAGGACCATCCTTTCACTTTGTAAGGCAAATTAAGTTTTTTGTTGCTTGTGAAAAGTTTATAATTCATGCAGCAAATTAAAGTTATACATCTCTTTGCACAGGATGACAAATTCTGAAACTCCAGGGACAATGTCCCATAGATCCAATTATAGGTAGTAGCTGATCTGCTCTAATTGTTGTGTTATTCAAATAAGAAATAAACATTTTCCTGTCTATGCTGACTTTGGGAAGGGGAACTCTTCTCTGCTCCTAATTGTGTTATTAAATCAGTCAGTCAGGTTTTCAGTTTTCACTGTTTCTGTCTTTGACTATGGCAGTGTTGTTGATTGTCTTTCTCATTTAGGCAAGATTCACTGCAACCATAATATAAATGGTTGACCAAAAGGGAGAAAACAGATTGACTGACATCTGGCCCAGAGTCCCATTTCTGACTCACTTGTTCAATTCCTGTAGACCAAGGCTTGTATGGCTGCAGGTAAATCACTTAGGTTGACCTGATTGTGTCTAGGAGTAAATGTCAGAAGAGAACTGAACTTTAGGAATACATTCAGAAAAGTTAAATGGAGGCAGTGACTAAGACTGAGGAAGGTTGCCAAACTGACTCCCTGTTATATATAAAGCACCAAACCACACTTCTGCTTTGGAATTACATTAACATACACTGAAAAGAAAAGAAATTTAGAGCCTCCATGATAATTTCTGTCTGAAAAAGAAATTGCCAAAATTTTGACAAGTTTTCTCATGCTTATGAGTCTGTATTTTTCCCTATATCCAATAATAGCAATAGCATTTGCTCACATACTAAAGCCAAAAATCTAGAAGTAATCTTTGAGTTCTTTTCCTCCCTCATATTACATGCTCAGCTCAGAAGGAAGTCTGTTAGATCTTCCTGAAGAGTACATCTTAGACTTCCAACTTCTACTAATGATGAAGTTCTTGTGGCAGAGTAGCTTAGATCAGACTAACCCTCATGCTACTAACAATTATACACTCCAAATCAAGTATAAAATAGAAGCTATTTCATGGCATTTAAAAATGATCAAAATCAGGCAGAACAGAAGGGAATTCAACCCATAAAAGATATGAATCAGACTGGGTGATATCAACAGGGTTCTCCCCAGTCCCTGTAGCAGATGGTACTCAAGCCAAAAATAGCAGCCCTGATCTGAGAAATCAGATCAGCATTTGCAAAATTATTTACCACAGATCGGGACTCGAACCCATGTGCTGGGACTCCAACCCAGACAAAACCCTGCTTGGCACTTGAACCCACATGGCTTGGACTCAAACCCAACCCAGTCAAAACCCACAATATCTGGTTTCAGGAGCTAACGAAACTCAGGTTCTTAATGTCTCACTGCAGAAAGAATTCAGTGAGAGACAGAGTGATAGGTAGGAAGTGGATTTATTCCGATACAGAGAGAAGCACACTCCGCAGACAGAGTGTGGGCCATCACAGAGGGCGAATGCAGCCCTGAAATTTGGCATGGTTAGTTTTTACAGGCTGTGTAATTTCATATGCTAATGAGCGGGTGGATTATTCCAACTATTTTTGGGAAGGGGTGGAGATTTCCAAGATTGGGGCCACCACCCACCCCCTTCCAAGACAGTGCCTTGGAGCTGTCATGGCACCTCTGGATGTGTCATTTCACTTGCTGATTGAGGTCTAGTCTTCTCTGCCATCTTGGTTCCATTTCATTCTAATTGATTTTATGTTGTGTTCTTGAACTACGTCATTCTTTCAAAAGTTGTGCCCTGTCCCTTTCCCTCCTGTTACATTTGGGGCTGCCAGAGTAACTGGAAACTTAGGGATAAATCTTGGGAAAGAGGGAACCATAAATTGGGAACCTAAACTTTGTGTAAAACCTCTCATCTGACTGAGCTTGCAATTGGGCATGAAGAGAGTGAGACTTCTTAGAACCCAAGTGCACGCTAAGTCGCTTCAGTTGTGTCTGACTCTTTGAAACCCTATGGACTGTAGCCCGCCAGGCTCTTCTGTCCCTGAGATTCTCCAGATAAGAATACTGGAATGGGTTGCCACGCCCTCTTCCAGGTGATCTTCCTGACTCAGGGAACAAATCCACAGCTCTTATGTCTCCTGCATTGGCAGGCAGAATTTTTACCACTAGTGCTGCTTGGGAAGCCCATTAGAATCCAAGGGAAAATGACAATTAGAAGGATAAAGAGTTGAACAGAGATTTAATGAGAAACTGATAGCTGGGGAGACAGTTTGGCATTCAAATCCCATCAAAAAGAAAGACTTGGTAAATACTTTTAGATTTCCGTAGAAACCCTAGGTGTCTTTCCATGCATCAAACAGGCATATTGGCCCAAATAATGGGTGTGGTCCTACGTGATATCTGCAGCTATGTCACAGAGAACATTTAAGAAGCATCATGTATTATACCCCAGTGCATTGTGTAGCATATGAAAAATTCTTCAGAGAGTCATGTATTATAGATGAGTGTATAACCACAGAAGGGTTTATTTACAATAAATGATTTTTTATCTAGTAACACTCTGAAAATGGCAGTGAATAGATAAGTTCAGTTCATTCCAACAAACATCATTAATCTCTGCTCAGAAATCCAGTTGATGAGGGGCCTATTCCAGATAGCCTGTCTTTTTTTCCCCTCTCTCCAAAGAGATTCCCCTGGTAAAGGAACTGAGTAGATCACCGGCAAGTTGCTTTAATTCCTTCATCCTTAAGCAACTGAAAATTTCTGTCATAAGGTTTTTACAATTTACATTGATGCTTGCTACCTGGAAGAAAAGTTATGACCAACCTAGACAGCATATTAAAAAGCAGAGACATTACTTTGCCAACAAAGATCCATCTAGCCAAAGCTATGGTTTTTCCAGTAGTCATGTATGGATATGAGAGTTGGACTAATGATAACCCTATATGAAAAACAGAAAAAGAGACACAGATGTACAGAACAGAATTTTGGACTCTGTGGGAGAAGGCGAGGGTGGGATGTTTTGAGAGAACAGCATCGAAACATGTATATTATCTGGGGTGAAACAGATCACCAGCCCAGGCTGGATGCATGAGACAAGTCCTCGGGCCTGGTACACTGGGAAGACCCAGAGGAATTGGGTGGAGAGGGAGGTGTGAGGGGGGATTGAGATGGGGAATACATGTAAATACATGGCTGATTCATGTCAATGTATGACAAAACCCACTACAATATTGTAAAGTAATTAGCCTCCAACTAATAAAAATAAATGAAAAAAAAAAAGGAAAGCTGAGCACTGAAGAACTGGTGCTTTTGAACTGTGGTGTTGGAGAAGACTCTTGAGAGTCCCTTGGACTGCAAGGAAATCCAACCAGTGCATCCTAAAGGAAATCAGTCCTGAATATTCATTGGAAGGACTGATGCTGAAGCTGAAACTCCAGTTCTCTGGCCTGATGTGAAGAACTGACTCATTTGAAAAGACGTTGATGCTGGGAAAGATTGAAGGCAAGAGGAGAACGGGATGGCAGAGGATGAGATGGTTGGAAAGCATCACCGACTCAATGGAGTTTGAGTAATTCCAGGAGTTGGTGATGGACAGGGAGGCCTGGCATGCTGCAGTCCATGGGGTCGCAAGAGTCAGACATGACTGAGTGACTGAACTGAACTGAACAACATAGAGTGAAAGAAATTAAAGAACCATACTGTAACCCAAAAACCCCACTGTAAGTTCTAAAATTAAATTTAGCTTAAAAGCTAATAGATGGAATGCAATGGAATAAAATAATAATTTAAAACTTCACCCAAAAATACAGAAATAGGAGAAAACAGGTAAGAAAAATGGAAGGGAAATCAAATAGTAAGACAATGGATTTAAACTAAAACATATTAATCATTACATTGACTATAAATACTAAAAACTCCAGTTAAAAGATGGAGATGATGTGACTGGATATAAAAAAGAAAGATACAACTTTGTTGTTTTTAAAACTACACTTTGTATAAAGATGCAGAGAGGTTGAAAGTAAAAAGATAAAGTTATAACAATCAAAGACTAAATAAAAACTGGAATGGCAGGCAAATTCACTTCAAGAAATAGAGTATTGCCAGAAATAAATGATAAAATGGTCAAAGCATTAAGAAAACATCAAAATAAAAGCTAAATATATGTGTGGATAATAGCATAGCTTCAAATCTATGAAGCAAGAATCAACACAGCTAAAGGGAAAATAGACAAATCTATGGTTATATCAGGAAAATTTTAATACTTCCCTTCAATAATTGGTAGAGTATGTAAATAAGAATTTAGTGTGGATTTAGAAAATTGAAGGAAATCATCTTTCCTGGT